GAGGCTCTAGAAAAAGTGCAGAGAAGAGCAACCAGATGATTAGGGGACTGGAGGTTAAAACATATGAAGAACAGTTACAGGAACTGGGCTTGGCTAGTCTAGTGAAGAGAAAGACCAGGGGAGACATGATAGCAGTGTTCCAATATTTGAGGAGCTGCCACAGAAAGGAAGGGGACAAGCCATTTTCCAAGGCACTTGAAGGCCAGACAAGACTTAATGGATGGAAACTGATCAAGGAGAGATTCAACCTAGAAATAAGGAGAAATTTTCTGATAGTGAGAACTATCAATCAATGGAATAGCTAGCTTCAGAAGTTGTGGGAGCTTCATCACTTGAGACCTTCAAGAAGAGATTGGACTGCCAGTTGTCAGAAATAGTGTCGGGTCTCTTGCTAAGGTGGGGGGGTTGGACTAGATGACCAACAACTCTGTTAATCTGTATCTGTCAGGGGTGAGGAGGTGGTGGTAAGAGATGCGTATGCCACCAGGATCCTCTTAAAGATCCAAACTGAACTAAGCCATTTCTAACTTTTTAAGAAATATCTGGTGGTTTTTTTTTGAAAGGAATGAACCTAAGTCACAAAGAAGGGAAAACAGAATAGAGATAAAAATAAAGAAGTTCAGGACTAGACTCTTTTTTTCCTAATAATTCATGACATGCTTTCTGTCATATCCCATTAACCCAGCAACAGGGGAATTTGTATGATACAATAACAAAAAAGCAGACCGGCTGAAGGAAAAGACAACATTGCCTTTTGAAATTGTCATCAGTTGAGCCTGTCACCTTCTCACTCTTTAGTTCGAAGGGACTGGAGCATCTAAAATCTACATGCACCAAGAGAAAACATCCTTTTCTACAGAAGAAATGCATTGGGACATAGAGAGATGGACAGCTTTGTTGCAATGACAGTGGTGTTAATAGTCTGAGACAAGCAGCAAAAATTATTTTAGGTTTTAAAATTATACTGAACACTACTGACAGCATCCCACTGACCAGTACAGGAGCTAATTTGTACCTTGTAAGTCTTGCAATGACTTCGTAGATCTGACTAGACAATGAAGCACATTGCAAAACCCTCTGGAAATGCTGTTAATTAATTTGAATTTTCATCTCTTCCTTTTCAACAGTAGACAGCAATTTCCAACCTTTTCAGATCTAGGAACATTTCTGAATCTAGTCTCCTGTGTAGCTTCTGAATTACATGATTCGTTCTGGGTCCCCACACCCCTCCTGCCACCTTTTATCCTTTCCTAAGTAGAGGAAAAAAGGGGGTTTCATGCAGGGGTGGGATTCAAATTTTTTAACAACCGGTTCTGTGGGTGTGGCTTAGTTGGTGGGTGTGGCTTAGTGGTCATGTTTTTGGCTGGGCATGGCCAACTCAATATCACTCACATCAAGGCATGCATCTCTTCGCCTGGCCTCTCATGACTGTGGGGATGCTGCAACAGTCGTAAGTGTGAAAAACGGTCATAAGTCACTTTTTTCAGTGCCATTGTAACTTTGAATGGTCACTCCACACAAGCAAAGTACCAGCAAAGGAGGGAAAAAAAACTCCAGAGAAGTTCCTGAGACAGGAAGTCTAGTCCTGCCAAGAATGTAATAAGGGTTAACGGAGAGGCAGTTTATGTAAGCAATACCAGAATGTTTCCTTCCTACCTTCCTTACAGGATTAGGCCAGTAATTTCTTCTAACAACCAGTTCTCCAAACTGCTTAGAATGTTAACAACCAGTTCTAGAGAATAGGTGCAAACTGGTAGAATCCCACCCCTAGTTTCATGTTAGTGTCAGATTTAGCTGGTCTAAAATGTTAGAAAACTGGGCCATTCAGTGGAAAATCATGGAGTGGCTCTTTGCGAAGCACCTTTATATATTTCTTGGAGGGGAAAAAAACTTTCAATAACTGCTTCTCAAAATGGCTATATGTTATGTCGAGCATCAAACAGGGAAGGCTTCTTGATAACCAGTTGCTAGGGAACGCAGAGCTTGCTGTCAGATCCTGCTCTTGGGCTTTCCCTAGGCAGTTAATTGGCCATGGTGGAAACAAAGCCTGGACAAGAATGTCCTTAGCATGGACTGTCCAGGATTTTCTTATGCCTGAATAATAGAATAACAGAATTTGAAAAGACTTTGGAGATCTTCTAATCCAAGTCCCTGCTCAAGCAGGAAACCCTATACCATGCCCTTTGTGGTCTCTTATATTTTGAGTGTGGAAATAAGATTCATTTCCTACATTTGTTTGAGGACAGTCCTCTGTTAAGTTCTGAAGAAACCAATGGCCTGCTTTGGCTACTTCCACATGTGTATAAAACCCTTCAACATTGGTTGTAGCTCAGAGGTGGTATTCAGCAGGTTCTGATCAGTTCTGGAGAACCACTAGCGGAAGTTTTGAGCAGTTTGTAGAACCGGCAAATACCACCTCTGACTAGCCCCTCCCCTATCTATTCTGTGCCTCCCGAATCCCAGCTGATTGGCTGGGTCTTCTTTTGTTGCCCTGCACAGGAGAACAGAGCTGGAAAGCAGGTTATGGGGTGGGGAGGGAATGGAGTTTTACAGTATCCTTTCCCTGCCACTCCCACCAAGACACGCTTACCAAGCCACGCCATGTCCACCAAGCCAGTCCCACAGAACAGGTAGTAAATTTTTTTGAATCCCATCACTGTTGCAGCTGCTATTTGGTAAATAGCTTGCCTGTGTGAATAATTGTCTTCAGAAACTATATTCTTCGCCTTAAAGCAGACTGTCCACTATCTGTAAGGCTTAGGGAGATTGATTTGATGGCAGCATCCAGAAGGGCTTAGAACGAATCAGAGGAATTTCCATAGGTCTTAGCCTTCAAGTTTTACAGAGAGGGATAGAGGCTAGTGCTGTCAGTCAGATGCTATATCCCTATTGCCACAAAACCTCATACATTAAGAAAAGAAAAAGTTTCTGGAGAAAAGGTAAAAGTCCAGATCATAACTTAAGGTTGTAATCTTATAAGACTTACCTGAAAACAAGACCCAATGAGTTTAATAACTGAAGACACATTCATCAGATTGCATTATTGCACATTTGGCATAAAAGACAGATTGAATTACAGGTCGTGGGCCCACAAATTATCCATTCTTTTGTAACTGTTTACTATTGACCCGAAGTATTGTTTTTAGATATCCATAGGTAAAATTAATACAAAATACAGACACTTATGTCTTTAGCTTCATTTGTTGTATAGAAGTTGGCTGAAAAAAATTATTGAAGCCAAAGACTTTTCAAACCAAAGTAGTGAAACTCTGAACTCATTAAGCCTCATCAGCAAGCAACAAAAATAGATGATCTGTAGCTCAGGGTTGAATTGTGGGGTCCTTGGTGCTCTCTTGAGTTTGGGTTTTTACTTATAGATGAGTCATTACCTGACTAGGCAACATCCTAAGTGCTGATGAAGTTACCTAGTTACCCAGTTGGATAATGATACCTTAGAAAGCAAACAATCAAGCTCAGAGGGCTATAAAAATCTTGATTTTACATAGCCCTCTGAGCTTGATTGTTTGCAATGAAACATTTCATTATTCATAATCATTGCGTTGATTCAAATCACAAGGCCTAGAATTCTTCATTAACGAGCCCCTTTGTTGCATAAGAAGGGATGTTAAGAGCCAGAGTGAGATAGGGATGGAGGTGTTGTACATGGTCTGGAAAAAAACAGAATCAAATCTACTTTGGGCTATGGACGCTCACGGGTGAATGAACTAGTCACTAGCTCTTGACTAGCTGAACCCACAGAATGGGTGTCATAGGGAAAACTACAAAACGAATGTTGCCTGGAGGAAAAAGGAAGAGTATAAATGAAACAAACAAATAAATGGATGTACTTGTTCCAGATATATTATGCTCTTTTTGCAAGCTTATCCCGTTAGCATTTGAAACATAAAACGACTAGGTGAAAATGCATAGCTCTTTGTCTAGTAAGATCTGTGCCTTATGAATAAACAAATGAAGTCAAATTCTGCTCCTAGTTATGCTGCTATAAATCCAAAATCTTGCAGTGCAGTGCTTTATTAACATTTTGAGTTCTGCCCCAGGTGATTCTTTCTTTCTACATCCTATTAAAAGTGAATAAATATGAAAGTCATCCCAAACCAGCACACCTTCTCTAGGTGTAATCCCACCAGAATCAGGGAGGCTTAATTCTGATCAAATAATTGTAGGTTTAAATAGCAAGTTACCTAATGGCAATTTTAAAAGAATCATTTATTTTTGTCTGCTGTTTCATTACTTCCTTAGCTGTTTCAGATTCCATAAAATTAGTTGTCAAGAGGGTTTGTTTACAAATTCCCACAGCACTTCCAGGCATAGCATCCAGACAGCTTGATTTGTATATACTTTAGTTGCAAATAGAGGGAATTTTTTCCCTGATCATACCATCTGTTTTAAACAACTGAAGAAATATATCAGCTGCCAGTTTTCACCCCCAAACAAGATAAAAGGTTTGTCTTGGCAAATTAACTGCTTGGCTTCTTAGGCTGTTAAAGCATCGGTACAAATCACAGTGCCTGATACACAATGGCTGGCGTTTGGTTTGCTTCAACTTGGTGCATTCCACAGGGACAAGACTATATTTCCCACCATCCTTGACAGCTACTTAGGGATGGCAGTGATTGGACCCCAACACATGCAGAAGAACAGCATCTCCATGAATTATGAGTTCCAACAAATGGAGGACACATGAATGGAATTCCTACATTCCATAAGTCAATAAACTTGGGGTTTTGGTAACAAGGGAAAAGAGTGAGATGGTCTCCCTGCCACACTTGTACTGTCCAACTAGTTTTCAGTCTCTATATCTCACCAGTCAAAAGAAGACTCAGCAGACTCAACGGTTTCTGATCTAACCACACTTTAAAAGGAAGCATTCTAGCTGATTTAGACGCCTGAAAGTAAGTTATTAGAAAGAACCAAAAAGAAAAAGAAAAACCAACAGAATCATGGTAAAAGATACATAGCAATATTTTTCCCATTAGGTGAAAAGGGCTCAATGCATTTAAAAATATATCAAAGACATTCAATTTCCAGAAAGTTCTACCAAAATAGTGTTAGGCACTTTAAAAGGCATCCAATTAAGAAGGCAATCTTGAATGTATTTATTAAGGTCAGGCAGGATGTCATTAATCAACTGTAATGAAAAAAAAAATCATTTTTACGACGTTAAGGTGGTAGGTTGATGAGAGGCTAGTATTTTTTTCTGAAACATTTCTGACCATCTTGGGGAAAAGAGGATAAAAGGGGAGGTGGGGAGGTAGCCTCTGCTGTCGTGTTCTGATCCCCTGGGTGATGCAACATGGCTGGCCTCTATAATTCTGAAGTCTTTAAATAAGTTGTGCTCTCATGTTCATTTGCCCATTTTAGTTGCAACCAAGAAAGATGGCAACCGTTGGAAATTATTTTAAATTAAGACAAAATTCAAATCATATTCACCATTGCTAAAAATAAAACATTCTCCATTCTGCTAAAACTTTCCGTGACATTTTCCTCTTTCCTGTTTGAGTGCTAGGCTTTCAATCATCAGCAGTTAAGTTGGTCGTGCAGATTGGTGCATTCTAGCAGTGTATGAAGATGAAGCCAGAATTACATGATTTGTTCCAGCTCACTTCTTGTTGAGAACAAGCACACATTTTCTAGGACAAACTATTCTTTGGATTATTATTTTTTTAGAATAGAATAGAATCCTTTATTGGATAAGTGTGATTGGACACACAAGGAATTTGTCTTGGTGCAAATGCTCTCAGTGTACAAAAAAGAAAAGATGCGTTCATCAAGAGTCAAGAATCATAAGGTACAACACTTAATAATAGCCATAGGGTACAATAAGCAGTCACATCATTTTCTTCATGAAATAAACTTTATACTATTTTCATATGAAAGAAACAGTTGCCCAAACCTCAAAAAATAAAAGTTGTCCATCCTGGATCTGAAAATTAAAGCTTACATTGAATTTATTCATTGCCTAGAACTTCAAGGCTTAAATATACATAACCAAAGTATAACAAACATATATATGATTATTTAAAGTACAATTGAATACCCATGGTCTTCTTTAAAAAGTTATTCTTCTGTAACAAATGACATCAAATATCATAATGAGATAGAAAGAAAACGTGTTCAGTTCCTCATTGCCAACATGGCATTTATGTCCCAAATGAGATTCCTCAATTGATCCATGATTTGCTTCAGCTGTTGATTCTTCTGTTTCAGTTTCTGTGAAAAGAGATTGGGGGGGGGGGGGAGAATAAACTGTCAACAGCGCTGCTTATTTGGGCTACACACTGTGAATTTTAATTGAGGAAATGGCGGTAGGCAGGACAGCAGAAAAGTCTATTGCTCAGTGCCAAATCAAGGTAGAAAGCTCTAGATTAATGGCCGATAGCCATGGTCTAGAAAGAGAATGAGTTAAGAGACAGTCAAAGAAGAAGAAGAGCGTCTTTGGGCCTATCTTGATTTCCCAACTGTAGCCTGCAACTTCGATGCCTAATTGGAATAAAAGAGCACATCTTCTTCCTTAAAAAGATATTTCCCTGTTAGCAAGCTTACATCAGTACAGGGGCTACAGGAATAAGAGCAGTGAAAATAAGCAAAACTACGGGTTCTGATCAGGTAGTAAAGAGGCAATATGAAGATGATACGAGAGGCAGTTTGGAACTGTGGTTAAGGAAAACCAAGAGACTGTGAGTTCTAGTCCCCCGCTTAGAGATGAAGCCAGCTGAGTGACCTTAGACTAGTAGTCATGCTCTCTTAACCCCAGGAAACAGGCAGTGACAAACCACTTCTGAAACCTTGCCAAGAAAACTGTAGGGATTAGTCCAGGAAGTTGCCAGGAGTCAACGAGGGCACAAAAAAGCGGGGGAAAGGATATGATAAACTATAGCCAATTCAGTCAAATCCTACTGATCTAACCAGGTTGCCTCACTACTAGCCCTGCAGGCTAAGAACTAACATTTAATAATATTTAGAAAGCAATACATTCCACACTGTTGATTGAACCCCCTAGCATGCACCTTTCCATTATTGTGGAATAAATAAGTACCTGGGAAATTCTTTATTTACCCATGAAGGGTCTTTGCAAAAGTTTAGCCCTTCCTTTTCCAGAGTTCTTAAATCATGCAGAGAATATATAGAGCAAGGCTGTCAAACTCCCGGCCTGCAGGCCGGATGTGTCACACGCTGGCCACGCCCACACCCTGTTTAGCTAAGGGGAGAAAAGTCCCAATAAGTCACGTGACGCCACCATGATGATGTGAGTTTGACACCTCTGATATAGAGGGATACAGAATGATCCCTACTGCAGGAACTGGTTTTAAACATGGGAGCAAAACTTTGTGTTACTCACACTGCCTCTTTTCAGGAGAACCTCACTGGAGTTTATGACTAGAACGATGCTTACATCTTGGAAGGATTAACTAGATGGAGCCATGGGTTGGGATGGGGGAAGCCCTACCAGCTCTGCAGATAACTTTGCCAATCTTCTATATATAAATAAAAGCAAAATACCAATCACGCACCAATCACAAAATCTCCAGAACCATAAAGCCTACAAACTTGAAATTTGGCACGTATGTTCCTCTTGGCTTCTAGGTGCTCACTAAGAAAGGATTTTCTGAAATGACCACCAGAGCATTAGTATTTCATATATTATTATTAACGTTCTCTGATGCTAAGGAGTTCTACTCCCCTTCCCCACCTGAAAAGAAACCTGTTCCAAATGCAAAACATAAGCAGAGGAGTTTCAGTTTTACATCTCCAAGCAGCTTTAGTACAGAACAATTGAGCTAAGCCATGCCCAGGCTCCTTGCTGTCTCCTTCTTGGTCACACAGAAAATACGGTTTCAGTTTCCAAACAGCCCTCAACTCTCTCACACACTGACAGGATGCGAGCCAGATGAATACTGATGGATGCTGGTAGACAAAGGCAGAATTTTCCCCCCTTATTTTCCTCCCCAAAAACTAAGCCCGACCACATAGTTTCACAGTGAAGCATGGGTATCATGTTTGTGTGTGTGTGTGTGTGTGTGTGTGTGTGTGTGTGTGTGTGTATAAAACTTGATTTCCAGCTGAGACTAATCCTGTTGTATGAAAATGAATAATCAAGCAGAATTCTATTAAGTTTGAAAGATCTACCAATAAGTCGTTGGAACTAGAAATAGGCACCATTCTGCTCAGCAGGGGTTTTACTAACAAAGAAAACTTTTACTTGCATTTGCCCATCATTTTAAGAGATGGTGACTAATGTATCCAAACCTAGCATGTATTTATATATTTATTTATTAATTTAAGTAGGTTTGCCATATCTACACAGAAATTAAAACCCACTGACTTCAACAGCACTTCATCCCAGGCCACAAGCGCTTGGATTTTACCCTCAATATTTAAGGAACAAAGGAAAAGAAAACCATAGTAAGTGAACGCAAAACTTAAAAAAAACTGAAGGCAGACCCAATTTAAAAACCATCTGTTTAACGCCACAAAACCAGACTGCCTCTGCAAAGCTTTCTACAAATAGATTGTATTAATGACTGGCATAGAGATGAATTAAGTTACTACAAAGTTCTGTCAAATGTGGTACTGAAGCAGTTTGATTTTGCCAAGGCCAAAAATTATAGCTTAGTCTGTGCTTTCTCTATGATTGAGAACTGAAGCATTTGCAATTTCGGTTCTCACAGTGTGATGTCACTTAGATCTCTCTGCATAAAGAATGTAACACTCATTCCCCCCCGCCCCCCAAATCCATTTTACATTCAGTCCCAAAGTAATAATGCTCAATTTGGTTCGGCTGCATAGCATTTTGCCTCCTAGGTTAGCAAGCTCAATCTGAATTTGCAGTTAAAGAGGAGCCATGCCTACTCAAGCATATTTCATCGGATGAATGTTTTTCCTGGGGTTCAGCTCTTTAGATTTTAGTGCTACACACTGTGTGGCTTTCCTTCTCAACTGCCCCATGGGGTTCTCTCCAGACTGCAACAGGAATGCCATACCATGCTGTGACTTTTAAACTAGATAGCGCTCAACGGATTTTGCTTTGTGTTGTTTGGCTTCTTTGAGGAACTCGTGACGTAGTTCAATACCTCCAAATATTGCAATGTATTTCATGTATATATTGAGTTAACTGGGCTGTACTACACCTTTCTAAAACCCATTCCATATTATAGATCAGTGCTTTTCAAAGCTACAGAGTAACAAAGCTGGAAGGTACCTTTGAGGTCATCTAGCCAACCCCCTGTTCAAACAGGAAACCCTATACCATTTCAGACAAATGGTTGCCCAGTCTTTTCTTTAAAGCCTCCAAAACTGTTCCACTTGTTAATTTTTCTCCCTGTTAGGAAGTTTCTCCATAATTCTAGTTGCTTTTCTTCTTGATTAGTTTCCATCCATTGCTTCCTGTCCTGCCCTCAAGAGCTTTGGAGAATAGCTTGACTCCCTCTTCTTTGTAGCAGCCCCTCAAATATTGGAACCCTGCTATCATGTCCCCCCTAGTCCTTTTTTCTAGACTAGCCAACCCCAAATCCTCCAACTGTTCTTCATATATTTTAGTCTCCAGACACTTAATCATCTTAGTTGCTCTTTTCTGCACTTTTTCCAAAGTCTCAACATCTTTTTTATAATATGGTGACCAAAACTGAATGCAGTACTCCAGATACGGTCTTACTAAGGTTTTGTACAGTGGTAATACTTGTCATAATCTTGACTCTATCTAAATTTGGCAACCTTTACATTGGAACTTCAACTTTCTAGCCCAATGGGAATTCTGGGAGCTGAAGCCCACAGATCTTAAAAGTTGCCAAGTTTGAAAAACATTGTTATAGATCATACTCAAGATATGTTTTTCTGAGGAAACTTTAAATATTTAGCAGAGTATTTCTCTTCCCCACACTTTTCAATGAGTTAAATGTGAGAAATTGTTGAATTTATTTCGTATCTGGTGAAAAGTCCATTTCCAACTGCTAAACTTAATTACTTTTCAGCTGCTGTAGCTGTAATAAAACCTCTGCAATAAAGTTACAATGAGAAACATACTTTATTTTTACAGCAGAGAGAAAAAAAATAATTGCATATTATGGCTGGTGGAAAATAAATTCAAATTATCTGGCCAACCTTTTTCTTTTGTATTTTAGAAGTGCTCTAAAGAATGAAATCCTATAAAGTTTACTAGCTCTTCTTTGGCCAGGCATTTGTCACAGGGACAGCTGTCTGGAGAGATGCTTTTTAAACATGTCAAACAGTAACAGGTAAAACTTGAAAAGAAAATCAAGTAGACAACGAGGTAATCTAGAAAACACACATTAACAAACAGCACAGGCAAGAGAATGATTTCAGAACTTCAAATGGAAAAGAAAGGTATGTTTCTATATAAACTAATATTATAGTTACTGATTTATGTTTTTTTTTCTGGTAGAGGCATGAAAACTTTTTCCTCTACTGCTAGTTTTAGCGCCATACCCACCGAAAACTTGTAAACAACATTTGGCTACATAGATCCAACCATTTTGTTTACAGCTGCTGTAGTGCCAGCCTTGCTATCTCCTCCTTCATAGACGTGCACTTCTATGATTTACTAGCACCATCAGTCTTCACTGAAGTGATCAACTGCATAACCATCCTTGCCCCATTACATCAGACCATCCCACTGGTCAGGAAGGGAAGGATCCTGAAATTAAAGGATTTCGACTGGCCAGGATCCAGGAACAGTACCTTCTCTGCCTTTAGCTCTTGGAATATCCTACCCAATCACCCCAAAGTGAGGTGGTTCCTCACTCTCCCGGCCTTTCAGAAATGTCTGAAGAACTGCAGTCTTCCTCGGGGCTTCACCCAGGTGCCTGGAAAACTCTCCCTCCCCCTCACCTTTTAAGTTGGAATTACAACTCTCTTGGCCTCCTAATAAAAATATTATATACAGTTTTTATGCTTTTATATTTTATTTGCACACTGCTTCTGTGTTTCTCTGTGAAGGAGACAGGCAGTCTCTAAAATAAATAATAAACAATTGGCAGAACAGAATAGAATAGAATAGAATAGAATAGAGTAGAACAGAATAGAATTCTTTATTGGCCAAGTGTGATTGGACACACATGGAATTTGTCTTCAATGCATAAACTCTCATTGTACATAAAAGCTGTAAGTGATAGATCATGATCATAGTCATCCTAAAAATACATTCACCATAAATCATAAGATACAACAGAGTGATAGAATCAACATATATCGTACTATGAAACTAAATAAAACAATATAAATCGTAAAGATACAAGCAACAAAGTTACAGTCATAAGTAGAAAAGGTAATAGGAAAGTTGAAAAGAATAATATTAATACAGTCTTACTAAATAGTTTGACAGTGTCATGGGTATTAATTGTTTAGCAGAGTGATGGCATGGGGGAAAAACTGTCCTTATGTCTAGTTGTTCTGGTGTGCAGTGCCCTACAGCTTCGTTCTGAGGGTAGAAATAATAAACAAACAAACAAATAAATAAGTAAGCAAGCAAAATAAAGAAGTCACTAAGGTCCAGTCGCTAACACTAGATAAACAGGAACCCATCCATCTTCAAACAGCAGGCTTTTAAAATAAAAATCCAAGGATTTGGATTCAGAGAGGGAGGGATTGGTACCACAATGCCCAAATATCCCTTCCCCTCTTGCTGCGACCTGCAAATTCACTGATCAAATGTATGATTTTTCAACCCAAAGTGCTTTGCTAGTTGATAAACATCCCATTAAATGTTCTCTCACTTTGAAGAGTGTTAGTAGCTCAGGACATTTTAGAAGGGTCTACGCTCTCCCATGATGACTTTATATGGTGGGAGGGCTCGGTAGCTTCAGCAGCTTCTTGAGAGCAAGGTAGATTTTAAACTTGAGGTCATCACTGACAATAGGGTAAAAAGGAAAGAATCAAAGTGAAGTATAGTTCACAGAAGGGAGACGAGAAGAGGTCTTCGCAGGGATGAAAGAAACCAATCCACTAGAAACTTCAGAATCAAACCTGCAACTTATACAACTATAGTTGCAGGCAAAGACTACTTTGTCTTTGTCTGCAACTACTACAGGCATGGCTGAAATATCTAAGCAAGTAGGTGATGAGAGCTGAAAGGACTTCTCTAATTACCAGAGAAGAATGCTGAATTTTTCACAATTTGGAGGTGATATTGCCAACTTTAATAGCTACTAGTAGTGATTATGTCAGAGCAGTTTTACCTCTCAAAAGGATAGAGAGCAGGGAATGTAAAATGACCGAAGCAAAGATATATTGTAACAGCTGAAGCAAGGCACATTGGATGTTTTTTAGAAATAAGTGAAGCTCAGAGAAGTGGAAGCCTTTTAAATCAGGAGGTTGTGCAAAGCATTAAGGCCATTGCCAATAGAATGATGTTCCAATGGGCGTTACTAATTTGACTGTGCAAGTAATTCTGAGTTGATTTCAAAAAGGTATTTCAGAGAGTATAAATTGCAAAGTATCTGCAATCTTTTGAGGCAGATGCATCTTTTCCTGGCATTTCAGAACAGCTATGGCAAGCAGCCATGCAATCCCAGAAAAAGACACAGCTGCTTTAGACAATTGCTAATGTTTGAACTCTTCTGAACTCCAAAGTACCTCTGGGGAATAACATCTGAAAAGCCATAATAGCTCAATATGTGCTTTGTTACAATCCAATCACATTGCACTCCTGTCAGAAGCACCGAGGCGTTTCGGGGTTGAAAGGATTAGCCGGTGACATCACCATTGCTCAGGACACACCCAGTTGGGAGCTCCTTTTCATGTCCCCATCAGGAGCTGGAGCAAAGGATGAGAGCTTACCCTGCCCCATGGTAGAACTTGGGTCTCAAAAGCAGGCTTGCTGCTTGTCAAACTAGTATTCTAACCACATGAGCCACCATGTTATTTACAATCCAATAGGACAATATTTATTACAATTAGTGAACACCCAATGGACATCAAGAATATGTGCTTGCTACAGATATCAATTGTAAGACTGAAAAAAAATCTATGAACATTTAAGAGACGTTTAATGCAAGAAAATAGATTGTAATACAATAGGCAACTAGAATACAAATTGGCCAAAATAGAGGCACGGGAAACCAAATGCAGATTAGAGTAATAGTTTGCTTATAAAATGCTAATAGGTTTCAGGACATCTATAATTCTGTAGAGAGAGAATGTACAAGTTAAATTTAAAAAAATAAAAAATAAAAAAGTAAATGAACCAGCATTTGACTTGCAGGCCATATTTTTTCAGAATATAAAATCAAAGTAGAGAACAGATTTGGGATGCTTAATTTTCATGTGGAAAAAAGAGAGCTACTGAAGGGATAAGATCTGTGAAGTGGAAAAGTATTGTCAAAATTTCAAAGGGAAAATTATCCAACTTGTTTTTAAAACAAGTTATCATGGTAACCAAAAAAATAAAAAAGGAATATGAAAATCTTGAAAAACAAGAAGGGATTGAGGTCAAGTATGGACACAAAGAAGAAAACATAAGGAAACCAATGAATGCTAACAAATAAAACAACAAGTAAGGAAAATAAGACAATTTTTAGATGAAAGTACTGAAAAGTAACAGCAGAAGAGACTTAATGGGGGCAAATAAAGCTGAAGAAAGATAGGAAGACTTAAAAAATGGAAATGCAGAACAGAAATATTCAAAGAATGAATATATATAGAAACACATAGAATTAAATAGGAAAGCAACCTGTGCAAATAAACCACTTGAAGCTGCAGTATATCAGCAAAAGTGCTCACAGCTCTGTTGCAACAAATATGGAACAAAAATGTGTGGCCTAGATTGGAAAAGATTAATATACATACCAGAGGTGGTATTCAGCAGGTTCGGACCAGTTCTAGAGAACCGGTAGTGGAAATTTTTAGTAGTTTGGAGAACCGGCCAATACCACCTCTGACTGGAGATTTTACAGTATCTTCCCCTGCCACATCCACCAAGCCACACCCACAGAACCGGTAAAAAAATTTGAATCCCACCCCTGATTCATACCTATACCAAGGAATGGAAATGAAATGAAAAAGTGTGAAAATTAACATTATATGAGAATATGTAATGAACAGGATAGAGAACGTGAGAAAGACCTTTACCTTCCTATCATTACCTACAGCAAAGCTTTTGTATAGACCCAATCAGAATATATAATGCATTTTAACATATTAAACTAATGATAATGATGACAAAATGTGGCATGAAATCACAACTGCCATTTTGTACCTACTTTCTGACACTGGATGCAAGTATGTTAGTTAGACACACCCCTTTACTTTACCTCTAGATAATCTGCCTTTGCATTATGTAAAGAACTATCAGGTCTTCTGGCTAAGGTAAAATAATATCCGGTTATAATAGTTCTTCAAAACACTTGATTAATTAACACTTGATGGGCCAGATGTATCACACGCTGGCCATGCCCACGTTTGGTTTAGTGAAGGGGAAAAAAGTTCCAATACATCATGTGACACCACCGTGATGACGTGAGTTTGACACCCCTGATCTACTATAAGAACTGAATTAGAAAACACGGAGCGATTCACAATTGGAAGTGAGTGAGACAAAGTAGGTTACAAAACTGCCCTTAAAAATCTAATTGCTGGACATAATTCAGGACGACAATCCCTTTGTCCATGTAGTCATCACCACCAGCTGAACCAGACTTTGATGACACTGAATTAAAAACTTTATGTAGACCCACAAGAAATATAGTCTGTAGCGTGGGTAAATGTATAAGACCTAGTTTCTATGAAATGGTTACAAGGCGTTCAAAATATCAGAAGTATTTTGATTTCAGATCAACTATGTTTCAAGTTCAGAACCATTTAGAGTTTAGACACAGGATAGGTTGGTCCCTTCAATATTGGACACTCCATTCATAACTCAAGATACTCTATCCTTTTGCATATAGTTGATATATAATAGTTAGTTAAAATCCAGGGCTCACGCAGTTAGGAAAGAAGACAAGTGAAGAACAATGTGGAAGGTCCTGCAGCTAGTTCTGGCTAAGTTTATAGGCTGTCATCAATGCTACTCTCAATAACTGACTATCCCAGGGTGTCAAACTCACATCGTCACAGCATCATCATGTGATGTATCGGGACTTTCTTCGCTAAACTGGGTGTGGGGGAGGGGCCAGCACATGACAGATCCAGCCTATAGGGCGCAAGTTTGACATTCTTGGACTATCCAAAGGCAAAAACCAGGCCACTGACAACATTATACTGCGTCAAACTCATTTTTACACAATTGAAAGACAACTTTTCAACTATGCCTTGGTTCTCTAAAAAGTGAAACAAGAGAACGGCAAAATAAATCTTAGGAGTTGCAGCAAAAGGCAAGCAGCACAGTATAAAAGAGATGGCTTAAACACAAGCACATATACATATTAAAAGAAAAGCCAAAGATTGGAATTCCAGAAATATCATATGAGTAAGAAGGAAATGAATCCAGAATGTAATTTGTACCCAAAAAACCCCCCACCCATCAACTACCCTGAATCTGGCTCTTTAATTTAAACAGTAAGTCCTTTTGGAAAAAGAAACTTGACACATTTTAAATTATTCAGATGGCAAGAATATCTCAGTGGCTTCCAGATTTCTCTTCAGATTATAAATGGGGGATAGAGAGGGAAGAGATTTGCTCATGAATATTTGGTATTGCAAAGTAAGCTTGCTTTTTTTTCAAGGAAACAAAAACAAGAGCCTACCCAACAGTAACAAACCGTGAATGTGTTAGCACAAGTGCATAATGTTCTTGGAATCAAGGTGACTTGCGCTAAGCCATTGAAAAAGAAAGCGGAAGGGGAAGGAGGAGAAATTTTTGCCTTCAACAGAAATCAATGTGTGAAAACATAATTTGCTATGATCATGCAACTTATTGTGCAGTTTTCCCCAGGTTGGGACCTTCCAAACGTCCTGCGGTTCAGCTTACCTCACACTCGACCATCTCTGCCAACAAACTGGCTGAGATTTGATGGGAATTCAGATCCAACCATCTAGATTGCCACAGGTTGAGAAACCTGGTTTAAGGTGACCTGATTTGAAATGTAGCACAAATACTAAAAGGCTGGTAAAATGTCAGTTTCAGACTGCGTAGGTTACAGTGAAAGGCAGCCTTGACTTCCAGCCAATTTAATTCACTTCAATATATGTCTGCATCATTGACAGGGAAGTGCAAATTAAATATTGATTCAGAAATGGTACACACGGTTCATACTGCCTACTTCTGCTGGTCCTCCACAGAGGGCAATGAACAGAGTGAGCCTCGGTGCCCTTCAAAGAATCAAATGCTGACCCAGAAAAGTTTCCATTCAGATTGTGTCTAAGGTGAGTCTTAGTTCAACCAAAGCTCAAGTTAGCAACCCCAGTTAAAAAGTTTGCCAGAGAGATAATGGTGCAGCTAATACTAAGGAAGAAATGAAATTCTCCGTGTGGAGAACAACAAAGCAGCTTTGGAAGGCTCATTCTATCTTTTTAATTATCACTCAGGAACCAAGGAAAATGTTCCACCTTTTCAACACTTCAATGCCAGTGAGCAAGTTATAAGTGAGCTGGAAAAAAATTGTTCGTTATCTTGTGATAGATCCCTTAGGTATTGTACTTCACACGTTCAAAAACCTGTTTTGGGTTTTTTTTGGAAGAATGTTTGAAAGACAATCAGGGAAAGTTACCTGATTTCATAAATTAAGTTTTCCCATCATAACTTGAGAAGAATGTTGGCTTTAATTTAGACTGATAGAAATGGGACCATGGCATCTTTTTCAAGAAATTCATTATTGGAACTACTAATATTTGGTAAAGTCCTACAGCATTTTTTATGTGTTTGTTTTGTTCAACATGAAGCAACTGACATACATTATTCATGGGCCCATCAATTCAAGATGCTGATGATATATCCCAATTGTGAATTACCACCCTTGTGTTGTTCTGGAAGTCTGAAGTCTTTTCTCAGCACCTGGAGGTTGTTGGGAGAGGAGTAAACATGCTGAAGTTAAGTTCAAGCATGACAGACTTGTTTGCAGACTGAGGTTCTCTGCTGTCTTGGTCTTATCTCTGGAAAGGATGGAACTGTCTCTGAGAAAGCCTATCTGTGACAGGGCTCATCCTGTATCAAAATTAGCGTTGGATAAGTATGTGAAGGCTGTTAGCCAGGAAATCTCTCAACCTGGAGTGGGTGACCTTGCAATGGTAACTGACAGAATCAACGCACGCTGGAGTAGCCCAATGACCTTTACACAGATCACTCAGAAATGGCACCTGACGCGAAATGAAGCAACCTGCTTACAGCTAGCAGTAGAACACATTATACCTGGGTCCTTCATCAGTTATCAGTAGATCTCCAAGAACAATTCAAAATGCAGGCTTTACTCAATGAAATCCTTTACAGGTAGTCCTTGCTTAAAGACCACAATTGGGATTGGCAACTTCATCGCTAAGACATAAGCAAGACGTCATGTGATTGTGATAGTCTTACACCCTTGCTTCCACTGCAGTCATTAAGCAAATCACCTGCAGTTGTTAAGCAAAACATCACAGGACCATGACTTGCAATTTTACTGTCAGCTTCACTATTGACTCTGCTTGTCAGAAGATGGCTGTGAAATGTGCAGATGACAATCATGTGACTGGGGGATGCTGCCACAGTTGCAAACACGAGGACTGATTGTAAAGTTACTTATTCAGCACCATCATAATTTTGAACAGTCACTAAACAGAGCAGATGTCAAGCGAGAACTACCTAAATAGCAGTGGCCCCCAACCTTTTGGGCACCAGGGACCGGTTCTGTGGAGAGAGGTTTTTCCACGGGCTGGAGGGGGCGTCGTTTAATTTGCTGCCTGCATCCCATGTATGGGGCTTCGATTGTTTGTGTGGACTAGTTTCTGGCATGTTGCGGAC